GACGCGGCCGGCTGCGCCCGCAGAAGGCGGTGACCCACCAGAGTGGACGGAGCGGAGGCTGCGCAGGAGACACTGACCACATCGGGGCCGAGGTGGGCACGTGCTGTCCCCGGGGATCCTTGGTCTTGCACCGCGGGGGGGCACAGAGAGAGAGCGATAGAGAGAGAGGCATTGGCTGTAGGGGATCCCAGCCTGGCACCATGGGGGTTGGACTGAGCGTGTGGAAACTTCTGGAGTTGCAGGGGGACAGGGACGGATGAACGCTGTTGGTGATCTCAGCCTGATAATGTACAGGGAAAAGTGTTGGGAGTACCTACCCTGAGAAGGAGCAGAGCTGTTTGCTTGGTACTGCAGAAGCAGGAGAGCAGACTCCTCTTGGTCATATGGGACTCCTGAGCTTGGGGCAGGGAGCCTGGACCTCCAGACTCCTTCCCAAGCCATTTTCAGGTGGCCCACGTGCCGAGCTGGCCAGGCCTTCGTAAGCTCTTGCTCCTCAGTCCTAGTCGCGCTCTGAAATCTGCTTGACTGCCGAAGTTCTCTTAACTTCTAGCTGGACACAGGAGCTGGACAGAGCTCTCCTTGTCCAGATAGAACAGCATCTGGAGGCAACATCACCCCCTTCCCTCCTCTCCTGAGCGGCTGTGAGATTTGGTCACGGCATCAGGCCCTGGCAGTCTGCCTTGCCTGCCTGCTCACTGCTTCCCATTTGTGCTCTTCCCCCTCAACAGCATCCACACCGGGGACCGACCCTACAAATGTGCTCACCCTGGGTGTGAAAAGGCTTTCACCCAGCTTTCCAACCTGCAGGTAAGGGGCTGGGCTTGTCCTACTCTCCCATGGGGTGGGCAAACACGGCTGTGAAGTGGGAGGAGAGGCTGCTTGCCTGTGGTGGAGGAGATAGAGAAATTGGGGCGGCTGGGTGGAGAGTGAAAGAATGCAGAAAAGCTGTTGAATCTCTGAGCCGGGGGCGATTCCTGGCTTTTGTGGCAGTACTGACCCAAAGGAATCACATAAACAGTTGCACCCTGTAAAATGGTAAGCTTGACTTGAAAATGGTAAGACCTTGGTAAAGTTCCTCCCATCTGTTCTGCAGAGTTTTCGAACTTAGCTGAGCCAAGATTTTTTGCTAAATGTCACACAGGATAAAATCTGGGTATCTGATTGTTTTGTTTGTATGTTTTACGATGAAATTGAGGGTATAAGAGCATGGATTTAGGGCAGCAGAGCTGGTGTGTCCTGTTTGCAGTATCCTGGAGGAGGGGAGCTGTAGGGCACGCCAAATGGCAGAGAGCTGTAAATGTCTGCGAGCAGTTAAAGGAGATCCTGCCCTGAAGGGCCATGTCAGATGTGGGGACCAAATGTGTAGTGAGGCAGAAAAGGAGAGAAAAAGAAAAGACTGAGAAAGAATTGTGTGGAGGCTGAGAAGATGGAGGTTGTGCAGAGTTGGGAGACTCTGCTCGTCAAGTGCCCAGTAAGGCTGAGAAGAAAGGGCATCAGTGGGAAAGATGCGGTGCGCTGGAGGGAGAAGCTCTGTCCCCTGTGCTGGGAGCCAGGCGTACCTCCCTCAGCAGACTGGGTCCTAGGGAGCGTGGGCCAGGCTGGAAGGGATGTCAGGGAAAGCCTTCTCCAGTATTAATACTTGCTTGCTTCCTCTTCCCTCCACTCGGCTGCCACCCCCAGTCCCACAGACGGCAGCACAACAAAGACAAACCTTTCAAGTGCCACAACTGCCACCGTGCGTACACGGATGCCGCCTCGTTGGAGGTACACCTGGCTACGCACACGGTGAAACACGCCAAGGTCTACACCTGCTCCATCTGCAGCCGGGCCTACACCTCGGTGAGTGTTTCCTGCCCCAGGGCAGGTAGCAGAAGCGGACGCGCTTCCCAGGGAGTAGCTATTCCAGGTCCAATGGGAGCAGCCCCCTGAGCTGTCGTGCCCCTTCCCATTGGCTTTGGCTTTTGGGAATGTCGTCCCCTCCTCTGACACCGTTCTTCCCGTTGCAGGAGACGTACCTGATGAAGCACATGCGGAAACACAACATCCCTGACCCACAGCAGCAGGTGGTTCAGGCGCAAGCCCAGGCCTCTCAGCAGCAGCAGCACTTCCAGCCGCAGGGCGGGGGGGCAGCAGGGGGCCCTTCTGGAGACACTAACCAACCCAACCCTCCCCCTCAGTGCTCCTTTGACCTGACTCCTTACAAGACATCAGAGCATCACAAGGACATCTGCCTCACTGTCAGCACCAGCGCCATCCAAGTGGAGCACCTCTCCAGCTCCTAGAGAGACCTCAGCCCAGGGAGCAGAAAGCCTCTTGTGCATAGCCTGCGCCCAGGGGCACCGCTTGTGCGGCGTCCCTCCTTGTGCAACAGTCTCCAGCCTCTCCTCCTGCAACAGCCTCTTCTGGCCGTGTAACCCTGTTCATGGCAGCCCCTTGAACAACAGCCTGTCTCAAGGGCGTGCTCCTTCTGTGCAACAGCCTGCCTGGTAGAAGGATGCTTCCTTGTGCAAGAGCCCCTTTCCTGTGCTGGAATCACTTCCTCATGCAAGAGCCCCTCCTTTCAAACCCAAAGAAAGGCCCCCGTTTTGCCTTCTCTCTCACTATAGGATGCGTATGAAGGGGGGGTGCGTGTTGAGACATGCATGGTGGATGGGATGGAGAGACGGTCCTTGTACGTACAGGGGCTCGGACACACGTTTTCAGCAGGCCACAGAAGAATGTGGCAGGGTTCACAGCTGGATGGGGTTCTTTGAGGATTTCCTTGAGTGTCTAAGAGAGAAATATCCATTCCTGTCCCTCCTGCTTGTGAAAGGGAGGAGGGGTCGCTCGTCCTGCCCCAAGGACTGGGTGGGAGAAACCTCCTTCTCCCCAGTGGAAGGTGAGGCCAGTGGCGGGGAGGGAGAGGCGAGGCACATCTCCGGGCCGGACAGGTGCCTGCACTGCCTGAGGGCTGTGGAGCGTTGCACTCTTTCTCCTCCCTTGGTGGAGGGCAATAGAGAGGAGTCTGTCTGAACTGGCTGCTGCCTCTCGCTCCCAGCTGTCCGAGCAGCACAATGGCCGAGGCCCTGTAGGAATGTGGGTTCCTGCTCATTGCTCTTCCTGTCCGTTGTGGATGATGTCCTAGCAGCTTGTACTCCTCCTCTCCCTCCTGCTTCCCCCCATCTCCTCAGAAAAGCCTGCAGGCATCAACAACAAACCAAAAAGCAACTGGAGGGAGGGTAAGAGACTGCCAAAATAATCATCACCCTTCTCTCTACTCCCTTTCCTGAAAGGCGGAACGACAGCAGTTCTGACTCTCGCACGCCTGTCCTGCC